CATGCGAGACAACTCGACGCGCTCATGCAGCTGAAGGCCCTCAAAAACCGAATGCCACATGCCAATTTCTAGCACTTCACAGAGAAGTGGGTGAAACGCATAGCTCCAATCATTTCCAAGCAAAAGCCAAGAAAATGCTTGTTTTTTCAGGAAGCTGAAATGAACACCTTTGCCACAGACTTCACCAAGTTTCTCTCTTCTTCGTCAAAGTTGATGGCTTTTTGTCCGAGCTGGGCAACTCCTCTGCGGGGTACCCTGTGAACTCAGAGGAGAGCTGCGGCTCCCTCCATTTCTCGAGCCCTTTGCAAGATACCATGAAATCCCAGAGATGCACGAGGACTGCCACCAGCAATCCGGAGCAAGCTTTCAAAGCTTTTGAACCACCAAAGGCAATTGTGACGGAGGTAGCAATGATCATAATGAGCAAGAAGAAGGCCAAGCAACCAGTAGCATGACGGTAGTTAGGTCGTAGCCGCTTCCTCTGCGCATCCAAGGCCTCATCGCAGAAGATCCCACATTGTGCAGTGTACTTGGCCTGCTGCAAGACCAGCAGATGTAGGCCGAAGCAACTGACTGCCACAACCATGATGGCACTCAGAGGCGCGATCCCAGCAAACTTTTCAAGCAGAAGCCATTGCACAGAGGCATGGCTAGTTGCAAGAACTAGCATTCTGCAAAGAAGCAGCTGCATGGGCAGCATCAGTTGAGCATTTGCCCTGTAGGGTGCTCGCTCACCCGTGCCCACCACACCCTTCCAATCCTGGGCACTGTCGTAAAGCATAATCCACCCATCCGGGTCTTTCAGCCGACCCCAAATGGCCGGAGATGAGGAGACCAAGATCCTCAGGGTTCAGGTCGTGTCAAAGTGTACCCAAGCAACTTCCTTGCATTAGCCAAGGAGAACTTCGACGCCGCACCCGGCAGTCCTACGACCCGGTCCGTCAACCTATCTCAGCATAAATTAGGGAACACCACCAATATCAAATCGTGAATTAAGGTGAAAGCAAAACGGCACGTTCAAGAGGTCTTGAGAAAAGCTCACCCATGTCCTCTTTAGAGAAGTCATGAGGCGCTCTGGGATGCTGGCCCTGATGCCATCAGCCCGTCTCATCTCAAGCACTGACACTTCCTGGCCTGCATCCACGACGACACCTTTGGAGACCTGGCTGTTGATATCCTCGTAGATCTCAGCATGCACAGCCAGGATGTAGGATCTCGGCAACTTTTCCCTCAAAAGGTCTCCCTCAACATCAGGCTCGATGTTCCCGTCCTTCTCGCCACCTTAACGAATCGTAATGCAGTATCTTGTAGAGACTGCTAAGATTACGAAACCCAAAATTGTCACATGGAAGTCAAAGCTAGCCAACAGGGCCCGCTGAACCTCCAGGCTTCGACTGCTTTGACTGGATGGCAAGCACCGCAAACTTCAACAAGGGATAGGTTGCTCGGCAGCTTATGAAGAAGATGACCAGCACCAAGATGACCTCGATCCCAAATAGCAACTTATGCGGCACCGATTTCAAAGGGTCCACAAACGGGTCCCATGCACCCCAAAGGTTCATCAGACGACGTGGTAGCCCGGCAAAGGTCACCTCACAATTTGCCCACAGATGAACACATGGGCATGCATGGATTACACGNNGAATTCTTCAAACCCGTCCGTGTCTAGAAAAAAAAACTTCCCTGCCATAATTTTGGTTGTGCATCTTAACATGTGTCCCACATGGCTTGGGGACGTGCCTCAGCCACGCAGCGCTGTTCTTTCCCACTGCTGGGTTGGTGACAAAGGTATACAGTCCGGCCAAAAAGTTCGCGAGCCGCTGGAACTAGTAAGACCTTCCACGTCGAATTCACATCCATTGGGTCCTGGAAAATCCGGGGCTAATTCAGATGAGCAAAGCTTGAACAAATCTGCAGAACCCCTGCAAAGCACCCATGTGCCCAACGTACCACCAACACCTGACTGCAAGTATGTGTGTATGCATATGTACATATAAATATATATATACACATACATACAGACAACTCCATCCACCCGTCATACAATGTAGAACCGGGTACATAGAACACACTTTCACGGCTTTAGCAGCAGCCACAAGACATGCAATCCTATGGCTTGCCCTTTCAAAACTTCAAGGTCCCAAGCGGAGACGAGCCACTGACTACATGTGACTACCCTATGGAATGCCAAAACCCAAAAGAAGCCATGCAAACCGCTGGAAACTTCGGCAAAATATTGAGTGTAAAACAGAACGACCCCTCAAAACTCACCCTGTCCTTTGGGAACATATGGAACTCCGCGGCAGGTATTTCTGCTCCGCGTCCTCGGAGGCTGTCTAAGATCTCCTCCGCATACTCCGTCTCCTTGCAAGTGAAACTCAGAACAGTCAATTGAAATGACAAAGCTGCAAATCTTTAACATGAACACGCACGCGTTCCATCACGTTCGTACGTGGATGGGGCCCCTAACTGGGGCTCCTAACGTGTAAAACAGGGTACCTTATTCCTTCGAGGGCCTCTCCTGCTTCTTCATGGCATTCAAACCCTCTTTGATCTGTTTCACTCTGAATCGTCGCTCTTGCTGAAGCCGCTTGGCTTCCGTGCTGTTGGGACTCTTCTGCAATTTCACATCCAAGTCTGCATCACAGTCGGATGATGGTGATAGGAAGAACTCGCGAGAGTCAAAGAGATTAAAATCAGGATCGTCCAAGACCACAGAGGTCACGTCGAACCTCTCGTCACTCCTGAATTTGCAACAACTCGCACTTTGCAACAGAGGTATTGCGTGCACATGACAAATGTGTAGCATCTACTTCGGTATTCATCTAGTTCTTCCGGTCCAGTTGCCACGGACAAAAGTTCATTGACCTGCTGGGTTTAGGGTTTAGAGTTCATCTCTTGCATGGCAGGGGAATGTAAAACAGCACCAAGCACGGGTCAGGACCGGACGAAACTTTGGTAAGCAGAACTGACAGAAAGCTTGTACTGTTCCTTGAAACGGAACACGGATGCAAACTGCGATCCTTTTCCCCCTATGCTCAGCCACATGCTGCCGCGAGTCTGTCTGGCTACATAATCACATTGCAAGCCAGCTGACAGGCTTCCATCTACAGCTGGTCGAAGGGCACCGACTGGCCACTGGTTTTGGCAACAAACAGCAATGCAAAACAGGCATATCATAGTTGAGCCGAATTGGCTGCGTGAGTCCATGGACACTGATAATCGCCAGTTGCTTCCTTCAGGGGCCACCGACTGTTTGGCGGGGACATGCCCCTCATCGACACAGCCATCTTACTTGATGCTTGCATGCTGAGGCATGGGCATGGGAGAGTACCGGTCTCAGCAAGGAATCCGGGGACCTTAGCGAATAACTAACAAACAGTACCTGCACCCTGGCGACGCCCAGGAGAATACACCCATTTTTGACCGTGATCTTTCAAACGCCTTCATGACATCTACGATCATATGCTTGATTACTTTTGTGCTCAGGCATGTCTGAACTTCGCACAAGGAGCTGATGCCGTGTGCCTGCAGTCAAATTAACATTGATGCCCCACATGCTTCCTGAAAACTTGTGCTGGTGTGGAGTTCAAGGTCTCGTGAGGGCAGCAATCATGCAGAAACACGCATGCTCGCTTGCTGGAGTAGTTGCAGAACTTACCCTTGTCCGCCGGCTTGCCAAGATTGGCACAACAGTGATGACTACTTGACAGAGATGTTGGTGTCGACTGCCTTGGCACCCTAGCATTCAGTATGAATTCGATAAGGCAGCAGAGATAACTCTGCATGTCTCAGGATCTTGCCCGTGGTGCAGGACAAGCGAACCCTGGACTCCAGCTTTCTTCTCTACCGCAAACCTGCAATTGTTCTGGTAC